TTAATAGCTATTAAGCTATTGAATAAATAAATAATAAATTAATTAATCAATCAACACTTGAACTACAATATTTCTCCTATTTAGGCTGAATGTATTTTACAACGCTGACTCTCACATACTAAGCACTTACTTGAATTGTGTAAGATGAATGTAATCATCTTCTCTAGCAGCCATGTGGAGACGTAGAAAGCTTTCACGGGCAACCATAGTGGCAGGTAGAACAGCTTTACGAGGAACAGATGGTGAGCCAGTGATTGGTCGTTCAGRGGGGGTTAGTTTTGTTAAACTGCCAGTAGAGGGGGATGGGTGAATAATKGAGCCTGTTGGTGTAAAACCAGGCATACCAAATGCATCTAGACCACTGTCTGTACTGTCTTCCAGTTCAGAGCTTGGACCTGCATAACATATAGAAGGTTATATTGACATATAATTAATGGAGGGAGCTATGGTGATTCCGAGGGAGGGGGTTTACAAAAATAAAGCAACAAAAAAATCATCAAATGAATTATCCATGGTCACTTATACTGACCAAATACCATGTAATCATTACATTATTATTGTTAAATGAAATAAAATCAGCAAACCAGTTGAGGTTGAAGCAGTAGATATTGATGATGTACCCTCTTGGTTCATTAAGTGATTCCAGGCCCAGTCTTCTGTCAATCAAAATGACATCCTCGTTAGTTTGGTACTGAACAAAATTCCCTTTATTCTGGAGGAACTTGCATACTAGCAAAATAACATACAACCACCACCTGAATTCTATACTACTTTTTGTAACTTTTTTGGATCAAACTGATTCACTGTATTCAATAGACAAGAAATTGTGGAAAGCCTTGTCTGTCAACAGTGATATAAACACTGTCATGATCCAAATGGAACGTGCATTGCATCCCAAGAATTTTATGATAAGTGACAATCATTTCTAGTGTACCTGGAATATCCATACTCTTTCTAACTATCTGTTGTTTGTATTTTTCAAGCCATTTGAACTCAGGTATACCAATAATGTGAGCCCTCTGTCTGTATGCTACAAGGCAAATCAATAAACAAATATCAGCCTACTTAATGACAGGGGAAATGCAATATTCTCTTCTTGGTGGTGTTTAGTGTTACCTGAGGAAGAGGGCATGCAGTTTATACAAGGAGACACAAAACAGGTCACACTAGGTAAAGTATTAACAGAGAAAGTATCATGGATGCTAAATTTGATGTGACAAACAACAAAGAAGGAAGACAACTTTGAGAAACCATTTGGATGCATTATTATTTTTTTGGACTTCAATGTTTATAATGGAAATGAACTCTGCCCATTTAGGCTGAAAACTAGTTCCTATACTGTATAACCTAACACCAAGGTTTTTATTCCAAGGAGGAATTATCATTTTAATCATTTTTTCCTCACCACTTATGGAATTCTTTATCTCCATCAAAAATCTCATTGTATCTTCTGAATTTTCAGCCTCAAAAATATATTTGATATTTTCATCAGTAAGAACTTGAAATCTCACTGTCAAGCCTACAAAACATTTGAAAAATTAGGACTCCATGAACTGTAGCTGAGACAATGTATAACAATAGGCAATATGCATTATGGCGTCATTTACTATAACTACCAGAATGCTTTGCCAACTTTCTTTTGTAATGCAATGAGTGCCAATTGTTTTATTAATCTCCAAGGGGATTAAAAATCTGAATAACAATGAAAATGCGCAAGACTCTCTCGACTGGTAGTTGCAGTAAACTTACGTCATAATGCAAATGGCCTATTAAAATCATAGGTCACTTGCACAATGTCGTCATATAACTACCAGATTTCTGCCTCTTTTGAATTCCTGTATTTTTAAATCTCCAAACAGATTAAAAATCTTATTAGCAAACTGATCAGAGTGTAGCATTTTGGTAGTTTGAAGTAAAATGATGTGAGATTTTGCAAGTGGCAGATTATTTTTACTAAGCTTACCATTGCTTGCAGTGCCAGTTGAATCTTAAAAATGAATCAATAGATTTAATTGTGTTAATAAATTCATTCATGTTGGATATTACTGGCTCATTTGACTATTACTGTATACAGTGTAATGCACTTTTGAAGCTTTTACATGATTGCCTATGTTGTGGGAACATTTTACTGGAGAAAACAAAAGAAATCTGTCATGTTTCGTCCCAAACAATTCATTGCGTATACAGTATATGACATAAAAGCTTCAATATGATAGGTGCTATAACACTGAAGATACTATACTGCAAATACTATAMTAGACCCTTTAATTAATGATAAATAAATCTCCTTATGACCCTCGCAGACAAAACATTCATCTATTACCATCTCAAATAGGATGCAATAAAACCTTATATTGTATAAAGGTTTTAGTCTGTTAGGATCTCTGGACCTTTTGTATCACATTTAACAAAAATTCATTTTTGCTGTTGTTGCTGTGACTCTAATTATAACTTCATGAAGCAGTGAAGAACATCACAACATTGTATAGAGTTTTACCTCCAGTGACATTGAAGGCTCCTCTCACAGCCATAGCATACAGTAGTGGTAATCCTGGGCCTCCCTGTGTGGCCTGAGTGGAGAACTGATGAACAAGAATTCTTCAAAGAAACATAAATGAAACATGTTACAATACTTTCCAAAAAAATCTTCCTATGATTCTTTGACACAAATTTTTGTCACTCTTAGTCTCCTCTCGCAGCCGTTAGGACGTTAGTTCCCAGGTCACTCTTAGTCTCCTCTCGCAGGCGTTAGGACATTCATTTCCAGGTTGAGTGACCTGGGAACTAACGTCCTAATGGCTGCGAGAGGAGACTATCTCACTCTTGTCTTAATATTTTTTTCATTATTTATATTATGCTTAACCTTTACCTTTATCAATCATTGCAGTTTTATAAGTCACGTGCAATATGAACACATAATCTGGAAATTGTCTCGACTATACAATTACAATTGTATTTAAGTTTCAAAACATTGTAGACTAACATGTACTTACGCTATATCCCCCAGCCTTGTAATAAGTGAAACCATTCATGTACTTACGCTATATCCCCCAGCCTTGTAATAAGTGAAACCAAACATCTTGTAGTATTGACCGAGTCTTTTATTAAATCACCACAAATGCAGTAAAGTAAGTCAAGGACACACATAGTGATAGAGTAATCCTCCATATTTAATGGCAAACATACAAAGACTATGCATACTAAAATAATTATTTAATTTGAATGACATTATGTAATGCAGTAGTAAAAACCAATGTCTAATTTTACTATAAAATCTGATTATTTTAAGGATTTTGCACTGAAAAGTATAATATAAGAACCTACATTTTTGTAGAATAAACAGATTCTTGCAGGAAGTTAACACAATTGTAGCTCAATTAGGTTCTTAGTAGGATAGTTTTGGCAAAAATTAAAATAAACAGCCAAACAAAAACAAACAAAAAAGTAAAAAACAAAACCAAACACAACGAAAAATTGCTGTGAAACAAGATTGTTATTGGCATGCTTATTCTCTATCTATTATTTTTTTAATTCTCTCTACGGTGATAGAACATGATAAAAGAACTTATTTTCACAGCAATTATAAAATGATTATAGAAAAGAGGAACCAGTCTTCCATATTTAAGTGAAATACAATGAGTATATCTATTCTAACTTAATTTTTTGGCTTAATTTAACCGACTTGCGAGTTTTGCCTCAGTAATCACACACAAAGGAATCAAGATGATATAGGGACCATGCATAAAGCTCACAACAGTTTTTCACATTTGACTGAGCTTTACACCGTTCCTTTACACACAGCGCCTTGTCTTGATTCTTTTGTGTTTGACTACTGAAGGGAAATTTGCAAATTGACTATTTTGAGTATTTTTACTGTACAATATGGCATGACAGTACAAATACAAAATAAAGTCAACCTATAAGTGATCCATACCATGTCTAGAACTAGGATCACTGTAGTGGTAGGGAAATATATATTAGAAAATAAGTAATATCTATTTTCAATAAAACAATACACACCTACTTGCAGAAATGTTTGTCATAGAAAATAGAACATTTCGAATTTAGTAATTTTAAAGGAATAAATTAAAAGAAAACAAAAGAAAGCGTTCAGCCTCAGTGATCTTCTTTTGTCTTTTTAATTTATTCTTTTTTACGAAAATACAAATGTACTATTTTTTATGACAAAGTTTTCACAAATAGGTGTACATGTAAATTTCAGGATAAATCTAAAAATAACTATTTTTCATTTTCACCATTGAAAATAATCCTAATAAAAAGAATGGAATGTCATAATCTAAAGCTGTATTTTGGGTTAACCATTATCAGGGTGATGACAGCTTTAGTCATGATATCTCTTTCTTTTCATTGAAAGTACTTTCAACCATCAAAATGGTCAAAAATGAAACAAAAAAAATATTTGTAGTTGTAATGAGATTTCAAGAGTTATTATTTCTTYTGGATTTATATTTTCTAAGAGTGTTTTGGTTTATCAGGCATAGACCTAYGAAGAACACATATCTATTGACCACAATATTTTTTCAAGTTAAAACTCACAATTTGGAGAATTTTTTTGGTCAAAAATGTGTTTTACTATTAAGTTCAAATTTAAGTTGATTTATTTTAAAAAGAATACATTTAAAAGAAAAAAAATCATTTTTTAAGGCTTATCTTACAGATATCAAAACCTAAAACTTATCAATATTTTACAAGGATCAGAAAAATAGTATTTACACTGAATATTTAATATCAGAAAACTTGACATTATTGTATATCTGCTTAGAAATTTTTTTCTCCGATTTTTTATTAAATTGCATTACATGTGTGATACCACAACTCAATTAGAAATGGGAATATAATTGCCAGTTTGCAATACAGACCAGCCCCTTAATTACCACAAAAACACAAAATATTAAAACCTACTTCGAAATACATAGGTTACAACCAGTACGAAGTACAATGGAAAATTACTGAGCAAAAGTCTTTACTTTTTCGCGAAAAATATCGGTATGTTAAGAAGCTTAATCAATTTTACATTTTTGTGTTGTCCTTACGTAATCAGAAAAACAATGGTTTGCAATTAAAATTAGGTGAAATTTGAGCTGAAACGCTTGTGCGAAGTTGTCGAAACGCTAATAAGTTTTACACGCTCACTAAAATGTAATCCTAAACTTGCCAGCGCCTCAAATATTACAGTTGTTAAAGTTGAAGAAAAAGAATAATATATATTATGTCATCGTCATAATTAAATTCCACTTAAGCTTAGAAAACTCTTGGTTAAGTTTTAAACATTAAAAAAGTTCAAACGTTTGCAACAAATAAGCTATTTTTTAGCTAMAATACAAAGGATATGTTTACACACTTCTCATCAGGCTGAAGCAATGCTTGTATCTTTTGTTGGAGGCTCATTCTCGGAGATCAGTTGCACTAGGCCTCCACAGGAAAATAGCTGAGCAATTGACATTCCTTGTACTAATCCGCCATGTTTGTTTTCACGGTGAGAGGCCTGGGTTCTAATTTAACACAGGGATCCCATATGCAAAGAAATCTTTTTCATACCACTTATAGACCGCTTCAGGGTGTAAGCAGCCACGAAGCTACGGGGACGACGAAGAATCAATCTTACTTTTCTCTTTAAAAAAATTCTGTAAGATTCTGTTGTTATCGACAGATTGAATGTTCTCCTGACCACGCCCTCTTCCTTTATCGAACTCCCTGATATTTAACCAATTTGATACGACGGAGCAAAAGTATTGTTGCGCACTTTTTTCGGTTATTAAGAAAAGATGATCCGAACTGCGGTGAATAATTGCGTAAAGAAATATGATCGTCGCCGTAGTAAAATTGTAAGCGAGTAGGGTCAACTTCGTACGAGTGGGAAACGGACGGTACTGTACTGTAACCGTAATCGTACTGTAACCAAATTCTAGTGTCTCATTGCTTCCCAAAATTTGTGCAGGCAGGTTCGGTAACTGTGCGGTAACTGTGCGGTAATTTCTACAGTACGTTTCCCACTCATCTATTATAAATGGATAGCCCAAAAAAAATGACCTCAGCGATGCTGGGTGCAGTGCTCTATTAACTGAGCTATCCATCATATAGAGGATATTACATAGGCGCGCGGAGATACGGATTTTATCTTAGAGTGTTGAAAAGATCGAGACACGAGAAGATAAAATTCGTATTAGCTCCAAGCGACCATTTAATATTCTGTTTATCATATAGTTACATATGAAAGCAAATTACGTCGCAAATACCCTTTTTCTTACTTCCACTACATAGAGAAACCTCGAACTTCTACTATATAGAGAAACCTGTAATGTATTTGATTTTGACTAGTGAAAATAGCAACTTTACGAAATGGAGAAATATGGTTATTTCATAATTTCATAGATAATTATATGATAAATATAGGTATTTCATAGATAATTATATGATAAAATTCCTTAGACATATCTTAGACTGTGTCGTGTCAGAGAGCTCCCAAGTCAAACGTAGTGTTTTAATAGACAACATTACAAATGTTCTGTATTTCTCACGTAGTTTGGTTTATTAAATCAAGAAATAGACAACATTACAAATGTTCTGTATTTCTCACGTAGTTTGGTTGATTAAATCAAGAAATAGACAACATTACAAATGTTCTGTATTTCTCACGTAGTTTGGTTTATCAAATCAAGAAATAGACAACATTACAAATGTTCTGTATCTCTCACGTAGTTTGGTTTATTAAATCAAGAAATTCTTGCGAGGCCGCAATATAGCCGTTAAATAAGTATTGTTGATTATTGCGGTCTACATCTTCCAATATATATCTATAGTTAACCATTAACCCAAATGAATTGGTTAGACCACGTGGGCTAGTGTCCGCCAACCAGTTTAGTCTCCACATCCATGCACCATTACGTATATGGAAGTTACCTGGAAAATAAGCCAAGACGTTAGTAATTCACCGATCGCTTTTTCACATAGATTAAGAGAGAAACGTTTTTTCCCAAAGGGCTAAGCATTCAAGACGAAAATTGACTGATTCAATTGGCTATTTGAACCAACAACTGAAAACTCCTATTATATCATCACATATGCAGAGAATGCGAGCCTCTGATAAACGTACACGTAAACAGCTGCAAAGCACACCCGGACAGATTCGAATTAAGAAAATTCATGGACAGCCAGCCATTTTCATAAGCTAAATTGTGTTATAGGGTGTTGATCAACATTAAAAACCGGGTAAAAATGCTAAACTGGTAAAAAAAAGTTCTAAATTAACTACTCGCAGAAATATTGYTTAATCTTACCAACAGGATCCATGGCAAAACCTCGTCTTTTCTCTTCATATAAATATCTGAAGCACACAAACAACATTGTTACTTGTCGCGTGTCTTGTAGTATACGAATCAAATCGTGCCGTGTTAATCCCCTACGCGTACGGCTTGTCTACAACAGTCGTACGCAACCTACGACTCTTGACGACTTGTAGAAGGACTTTGAACCACAGCCCGCGTAGGAAAATCGTAAATCCGCCCTAATTGTTATCAATATACACAGAATGAAGTCATTAAACCCGTGAAAACAAAACTTGACTATTTCAGCGTTATAGTCCGATGTAATTAGAGCGTACTTATAGAGGGTCCTGGTACCTACTTGGCACAAAGTCTCATAAGAGGCTTTTTAACACATTYTATCACATCTTGATCCAAGTGCCAGTCAGAGCTTTGTATTAACTCCTAAAAAGCAAAAGTCACAGGAACTACATGAAGAGACATTAATCTTACAAGGAAGGGAAGTGATCCACAGATTTCAGACGAAAGGAACAAAGAAAGACAAATGAAAAAGAGACAAATGTAAGAAGGGTAGACTTTCGCAAAGTCCATCTCGTTCCGGATCTCCTTGTGTCTCGCCTCTCGCGCTATGCGCTAAACCATCGCGCTAAGTGCTCAATATTCACCCATTCCTGGTAGTAAAACGACTTGTGTAAGACTATGCGCTAGCCCATCNAAGGGAAAAGAAGGAGAAAGAGAACATACCTTAAAAAGTAAAGAAGGTTTTTGAGTATTACGATATTGAGCCAATTTTTCACGCTCATCTTCAAGTAGAATACTAGCTGACGTACCTTGCTGGTCTGTAAGAAACAAAGTCAATGTGAACATTTTCATTTATTTGTGAGGGTCTCCGTCTAGGGCATTTTTACCTTCGCTTTCGATGCTTTCGTTCAAATGAACCAGCAGCCAGTGATGAAAGCCAGGAATAGGAGAAAGCGTTGCATACTGGGTAATGTTAGGGAACTCATGCTGAAGTTCACGAACCACGTGTTTGATAAGAAAGTTTCCCAGGTCCACTCCGCTCAATCCTGYAGAAAAGGGCAGAGACAAACGTATCAATAAGAAAAATTACTAACAAGATAAATGAGAAARCCTTCTGAAAATGATGATACTAGGTTTGGTAGCGGTGACAAGTGGCGTGACATGCGAAGTTGGACAATRATGATCACCACATTYCTTTGCCTAACAAATAAATCAGTTTTCTTTGTTTATGTGCCTACATTGATAACAATACCTTTTTGTGTTGACGATATCGAGTAAAAAGCAGCAGTTGTTCTATTTTCAAGTTCATATTCACAATCATCGATATCTACTTCTGGTTC